CAGGTCACAGACCCAGATCTATTCGCTATCGACCATAGGACTATAATCCTTAGACTATTTTTATCCTCGAGGTAAACTTACCAGAGCGAGCCGTATTCCCTTTTACCGTTAACCTGGTTTGACACTATGGTCGAGGCCAACACTTGCAGCCAGGGTTACCTCTTAGACTGCTATTACCCTTGTAAAGTTCACTCAAATCCTGGTACCCATCTTTCCAACTTCTTCTCTATCGTCCCCTACTAGCCGTAACTCAGAACTAACCGACTCCCCAAACTCCCAATCCAGATAGCCTGGTATGGTATACTTATGTATCCTTTTTCTCCAGCGATTTCGGCGGTCTGGTTGGTCATGTGCTCCTCTACACATCTTTGTCATCCGGTTTATCTGACAGTTCCTATGAAGGTGTTTCATGGGCTTCCATCAGTCCAATGGCACCATCGAAAGTTTGTGCTACCTCTTTACTCGGGATTTCCAAGTGGGTTTCCGTCTCTTCGGTTTCTTAGCCTTCTACGCCCGGGGAACTTAATTATTAGTAATAGTTGTTGTAATATAAATATTATATAGCTAATTATTCAAATTTTTGCCATCAATGAAATTTGAACATCCAATTTATTACTTGTGAAGTTAACAACCTGACTACTTTACTAGATTGATACACCTCTGCTTATTTTTTATTAAAATATAATTTATCATTTAGATTATATAAAAAATAATTTACTATATTTATTACTTTTAAACTTAAATAAATTTAAATTAAATAAATTTAATTTAAGTTTACTTAAATTCAAATTTGATTTAAATAAATATGGTAACTTAGTGAAGTAAATAAGTTGTTAATCCTCTAAGTGATAAGTTGTAAGTTCAAAACTAAAAAAAATTGAATAATCATGTATATAATATATAAACAATATTATAGTAATAATATTTTGTTAATTATTAAGATAAGATATCTGTAACTATGATCATACTAGTATGACTAGCAGGTTATAGAGTATCTGTATAACTAGTTATATAGAAAAATGTAAACTGATAATAAGCAGTACAAATCTAAAATAAGTTCTTGTAATTGTATAAATCTGTAGAACTAAGAAGTTAAAGTCTACTTAAAAAGACTTAAGTAGAAAGATAATACAAATCTTTGACAGTACTATTATAAAGATTAAATCTAGAAAATAGATACTAATATTAAGAAATTAAACAGACAAGAATTTTAAATAAAAGAACTATCAAACAGACTATCAGAAGTTTCAAACTGAAGAAAAAGAATATTAAATGTTGTAATTTTAGTATATCAAAGACAAGTCATAATTCATCTAAGCTATCTGAATTAGAAGTTTAGTACCAAAAGCAAAAATATACTATAAATACTAGGAATATGCTTGAAATATATATTGAGATTTGTATGAATTTTGCAAGAGAGAGTCCTGTTATCAAAGATTAAATATGGATATTTAGTTAACAAAAAGGTCTTCTAAAGACCTACAGTTGATAACATATTCTAAAATATGTAACAGCTTGACAAATGTATAGACAAAGAGGTTAAAGTTAAGTTAGACAGCATCTAGGTATATAGAAACTTGTATAGTTATTTATCAAATATAATATAAAAATCAAAATATTTAATTAGATAATCTCTTAGCAAATTACAAATATGGTAACTAGTTTAGAACCTGTAAGCAGACTACTTAAATAAATAACCAAAAGCTATATATATAACTAGTTGCATACTTACTTTGTACAAGTTATATAATTATAATTAAAATTATAATAAAGGCAGTAGCTACTAATAACCAAAAGACCTTAGTGAAAGCAAAAAAAAAAATTTAGTTTAAATAAATTTAATTTAAATTTATTTAAATTTAGATTAAATTCAAATTAATTTAATTTAATTTCAGATTAAATATATATTGTAATTGTTAGATATAGATAGTAAAAGTTAAAGTTAAAAAAAAATAAAGAAGAATTAATAAAAAATTTATACTTGTATATGTTATAAAGTTTGGCTAAATTAATCTAAATTTGTTTAAATAATACAAAATAATTTATTTTATATTATTTTTTTTTAATATTAAAGATAAGTACTTGTAATTTAGACTTTTATTAATAATATACTTTAGCTTTGTGATTGTATTATAATAGTTACAAGAAGCAACTATAAGAAGAGTATACAATTAGTCTTTTATATAACTTTAGTTATTATCTAATTTAAGTAGTTTGTCTAAAAGTTTTACACTAGCTGCTATATTTAGAACTTACTTTTAAGTTTTTTATTTAAACATTTTGGTTTTTATATCTATTTACCTATCTATTCTATCAACTGCCTTAGTTTTTACTAGTGTAAATATACTATAATCACTAGGTTTTTAAAGTGGTTCACTTATATAGAAAACCTTTAACCTTGTACTAAACTTATTAAAGTCTTCTGTTATCCAATTTATAGCTAACTTGATATTATTATAATCAAGATCAATACTTGCAATTAGGATAACCCTTAAACTGCTATATTTTTATAGAGTTTATATAACTATAGTACCCTTTTTTACAACTTTACTAGTATCTTGTATGCTCTTACAAATTCTCTTATATTACCAATTTAATTAGTTCTGTATAATGTAACTTTATATTCAATTTAACTAATAACTAGATTGGTAGACTTTTTTATTTAAAATTTAGTTTATACAAATTATTTGCCTCAGATTTTTGTCTTCAAATCAAGATTTTCATAAGTGATACTATTAAAGATTATACTATCTCTTTACTTGAAATTTTTAAACAAGACTTCTTATAGAGTATATATTTTTTGGATTTATTTATATAATATTGTATGTTTCCAAAGTTAGTCTTGGTACAATTAGAATTACAAGATTACAACTCCAGATACTTCAAACAAGTTATTGAAATAAAAACATTTTTCAAATTTTTACCACTAGTGAAATTTGAACTTTGAACCTACTGCTTAAAGAATGACAACCCAACTACTACACTAAGATCACTATCCTTTTAAAATAATTTATTTTAATTGATTGTTTATGTAATAAACTTTACATATAATAAAAAATTACATCTAATCTTTAAATTTTGATAACTTAATGAGTTTTAATTTTAATAAAATTATTACTGTTAGAATCACAAAAACCTACTCTACAAATTTGCTTAAAAGCTTAAAATAGATTTAATTAATAAAAAATTCTATAAATTAAATTACAAAAAATATTTACCATTAAGTTTATATATATATAATTTTAAAATAGTACTCACTACTTTTAAAGCGATATACAAATTTAAAACTTAAATTAATTAAGAATTTTAAACCCGAAGCAACGCCCGGGTCTGAGACCTAGTCAATACTTAGATCGACTCACACATGTGGAAGATGATAGTTAAACGGTATCTTCTCTACCACGTGAAGAAAATGGGAAACAAATAAGAACAAGGAAGGTAAGTAATGTAAGTTCTTCTTGCATAAAGGTAGGAGTTTAAAGAAGAAAAATAAAGCAACGTTTTAGAATACATATCTTATATTATTCATTTCCCGAAAGAACATAATATCGATTAAATTGGCCAGTATATAACTCATGCCGGCTAACTTTAAGATTTCATATGTAATCAGTTTACTTTTACATGTTTATTTCGTGAATTTCTTTTATTGTATTGATATTGATGTCTACTAAACTGCATTATAATTGAGAAGTTAATGAATTTTTCATGCCATTGGAGGTACGAAAAATAACGGGTATGTAATCTTTTTAATTGTTTCGAAAAAAAAAATTATAATTGAATTAAAAGGTGATAGACTAATAAACATTTTTCAAGACATTGTGAACCCTTATATAAAGTAACTAAATTATAGTATATAAATATTTTTATAACATTACATTCTATCTGTACTAATTTTTTGGATTTAATGTCAAAAAATCATTATACTATGTAATAATAATAAAACATTTTGCTCTTATTTTGTATGTATAAATTTATTTTTATAAAATATTTTAAATTATCTAGGACCTTTCCAATTTACCAATCATCATTCTTAAAAGTGAATAGACATCTTTTAAACTATATTGTAATCCACAAATCTCATCCATACTATTTCAACCACTGATATAATATTAATGTTAAGCAAATAATTCTAATAAATTTTTAATTTCTATAATTTTGAAGAATAATGATAAATTGATAACAACCAGGTTTAATATCCACTGTAAAAGTAATAAGAAAGATGACAAATAATATAGGAAAAAAAAAATTCTATAGTAATTAAATAGCTGCAAGCCCATTCAACGTCGTTTTAAAATGATACCAAATCAAATCGTCATCATCATCATCATCAGAAGATTCATGTTTGGTGTTAACACACTCATGCTCGTCATATTGATTAAATGAATTCTTTACCAATCCTTCACAAACCAGAAATAATGTATTGGTTTTAGCAAATTTAAGTTTTAAAAGTTGTTTAGGAATTAATTCTGGTGGAGAATTTTTTCTGGATGTTTTAATAAGCAAATGTAATCGAGTAATATCTAAATGTCATTAAATAAGTTATAATATTAATATTTCTAAGAAATATCAACATTTTTTTTTTTTTAATTATATAGTTACTTACGTAAAGGTTCTTGTTCATTTAAATTCCCCAACAAAGATCTGAGCAGTTTTCTTTCACTGAAATCTTCGTGTTGTGGTGTATCTAGCTCTAACATTGAATCTGCACACACGTTAAGAAATTCTAAAAAGTAAATTTCTTTTGGACTCATTGGTGTATTTCCAAACAAGATGATTAAATGCAAGGAATCAAAGTAATTATGATATGTAAAGATATGTTGAAGTGTAGTCATAACCATTTCGGATAAAATTTGAAAGTTCGTGATCAACTTTTTTTTTTTTAGTCGATAGAAATTTATTATCTTTATATTTCGTAATAAGTTTCTTTTTTAATAAATATTAACAAACCTCCTTTATTTTCTTTGTCTTTGCGTTTTGACGTTGTCCATTTCCTTGCTATATAATGAATAATGTGATGAAAAATCTTGGGTTTAATTAGCATAAAAAAACTATATTATACAAATTTTTTACATCATCAGTTCCTTGTAATAATTTTTCGATCTGGTCAAAAGGACTTTTAATAAAATTTATAAGTTATATATTATCCAAATAAAAGTAAAGGATGTTTACAATTTTTTTTAAAAAAAAAATCATTCATTGTATTTACCATGGAATTTGGCCTCTCATAAATAAAAGATGCTTAATAAATGTTACGATTAATCTTGAGATAAATGAAGCTGATAAAACATGTGGAAAATAGATATTTGTCGCGTTTTCGGGTGTTAACATTTTTTTTTTGTAAAAAAATGAATGACTTTTTTAAAATTTGAGATCACTAAGAATCACTGATTACTGTTAAATGACTGCTTTTATTGAGATTTAGTGATTGATAAAAAAATTTTTAGTGAGATTGTTATATATATATCGAGGATAACATGTTAGTATGGATCTTTTTTTTTTTTAATACAGTTAATAAGAATCTCAAAATCGAAACTTTGAATCAAAAAATATTCAATCTTTTAATGTTATTTGATATACTCATTACATGTAGAAAAAAAATCTTACTCCCTGTTTCTGTCAATTTCTATGCAAAAACTATTTAAGTTTTACTAATAAAACGTAAAACGGTATAACCGACAGCAATTTCGCCTAAGAAATTAGTCCGATTTAGATTTGGTTTGGCCTGATTTATAATTAGTGTTGGCTAGAAGTAGATCAGTGGCTAATAAAATTATATATGTACGTATATATTTACGTATTATATATTTATTAGATATATACATTATAATTAATTTTATCCATAAATTTTTATTAATAATAATCAATTGATATAAGATTTCTTTAGGATAAGGCATAATTTGTAGTAAAATTATATACGTACGTAGTTAAATTTATATAGTAATATTTATATATAGTAAAATTTATATAGTAAAATTTATATATAGTAAAATTTATATAGTAAATTTTATATAGTAAAATTATATACGTAGTTAAATTTATATAGTAAATTTTATATAGTAAAATTATATACGTAGTTAAATTTATATAGTAAAATTTATATAGTAAAATTATATACGTAGTTAAATTTATATAGTAAAATTTATATAGTAAAATTTATATAGTAAAATTTAGCAAGAAAAAAAAATTTATTAGTATCCCGAAGATGATTTCACAGTCAAAAGTTTTGAGATATAGAAGGAATATGTAAACTAAATGCATAGAACACCATTTAACAATATTCAAAAAATTAAAGTTTAGAGATTAGGATAGGTTTAAGTTAAAATATATAAAAATATATGGCTAGGTAGACAAAAAAAAAGATCTTCGGAAAATAAATCATAAGAAAAATTTTATTAATACAATTACTTTCGTATCTTAAGTGAAAAATGATCCTAATTTTATTCTAAATTGATTTATGTAAAAAAAAAAAAACTTGAAAAAATTGTCATTTTCGGCTCTTTTCCCAGCGCGCTAGCCAATATATATACATATATATAATTGGTGCAAAAATAAAATTTATAAGTATTATATAAATGTAATATAATTTCTGTTTTTTTAAAAAAAAATTAATAAGTGTTAACTTTACAGGAACCTTAATTTTTGCTATGTATATATTTTTAGATATTAAACTTTGCACTATATAATATGCTATATTAAAAGTAATAAATGATATGTATGATTTATAATAAGTCAATTTAAATTGGATCCAACAAAAATATTTCATAACACCTACGTACGATATGGATTTACTAATTTTCACCCAAGTTCCTATTGGCTGGAATTATTCGCACCAAATTACATGTCATTTTAGTCATTTTATTCTTAAAAAGTTAAAGATTAATATCAGAATTAATAGAGAATATTTATAGCAAAATCTTGCAAAGAATTTTTTTTGTTAGTACGCAGAAGGCGATTTTGAGATAAATGAGTCTTCAAAAATAAGCGATTGTTTTTTTTACACCTGATCTTGTTCTCTGATTCGCTGTAGATGTATCATGTTATTAAAGGTCGTCGATTTTATCCAATTAGGAATTAGTAATGCTATTTACTTATATATGATAAGTTATAAAAGTAATAAAATCAAAGATTACTTGATTTAAATGAATTTAAAGTCAAATTGAATCTGAGGTTACAAATATTTCATAGCCTCTTACAACCTACAGTAACCTAATGCTAAATCGTAAATTTATACGTACTAGAGATTTTATTCTTCACGCGCGTGCCATATTGATTTACAATTTTATATCACTAACCTACTTTCACATTGATCACATAATTAATTTAAAGCTAAATTAAATTAACAAACAATATGAGACAACAAAGACTTGAGATAATGTTAAGACACAAAACCCTGTAGTTGAACTATCATGACTTTCATACATGATAAAAACAAAAACGCAACATGAGTGCGTAACATGAGTCCAAACAAATGTAACACCCCGCAATTTGTTTTTCCAGATTTAGATATAACATCAAGTTGTTTTAAGAATGTTAATCGTTATCTTTTGTTAACCAAAATTTGAAAGTAATTTATACGTATAATTTATACAATACAATATTCATATTAATATTGTTATTAATCCCGATACTAATTTGATACCAATTCGATACTAATTTGATACCAATTCAATACCAATTTTATGAGACGTTTTGTTTGCAAATTGAAACGCAATCAATTATTTTAATAAGTATATTCCGGGTTTTCTCTGGTTGACAGTTTTTTTGACATGTATGTATTACGTTACATTAAAAAAACTGTCAAACATGAAGATTTTCAAAGTGTAAAAAATTAATTGTAAAAAATTAAATGCATTACTTTAACTCGAACAACTGAATTCTAGAATTAATTATCTTTCTTTACTCGTTTCATCTAACAAAGAAAAATAAGACATGTGTCTTACAGTATAGATTGGGAGTACTATGTATTGAGAGTATTATATATTTAGAGTATTATGTATTAAGAGTTTTACATGTTATCACTTTTTTCACCACTTTTTGATATCTTTTATTTCACGACATATGACGTTAAATTAGTATGCATGTATTAAAAAAACAAATTTAGTAAAGTTAAAATTAACATTACATGCATATACATATAATACTTATCACGTGATACTACAATTTGAATTACCAAACTATTATTATATCCTACGAACATCAAGTTTGAAAGAATATTCCATTGCTAACCCCAAAATTCTCAATTTATCCTTCAAATATGAAAGCATAATCATAAACTCTATAGAATTAAATATTGTATATAATTAAATATTGTTTGCAATTTTTATCACCTAAAAGCACACAGCAATTTGTCAAGTAATTGTACGAATTAACGCATTGTTGATCCCAAAGTAATCCTGAGTGTTCATGTGTAAAATTTATCGTTATTTTTTAAAAAAGTTTTTTCTTTTGTTTATGATCATGCAGTAATCTTGAAAGTGATCATGTGTAAAACAGCCATCGATACTAACAACGCCACGATCCGGTAATTCACTTGAATAATTTGAAAATGAAGTCATTTTTATTTATCGGTTCAGCCAAAGCTAAAAAATCACTATATTACTATATACAGTTTACCGCTACGGTAAAATGAAACGTGTTCAAATACTATATTTATTCCATAAGCCGCAATTCAGTAAATTCAGTAAATTGAGTAAATTAAGTAAATTCAGTAAATTGAGTAAATTCAGTACGTAGCATTACTATATTACTAACTACATTACTATATTGATATCGATATGTGCAATTTCTTACTAATGCTAACGCATTTAATATCGATTTAAACAAGAAATTCCAGAAATTTCATGTTAACGTATTTATAATCACGTGATACCGAATATGAATTGTAACGGTAACGGTAATGTTGGCAAAAATAAGTATGATCAAAAAATTCCGTTTCATAAATTAACGTCATATGAAACGACCCGTTTCATGAACAAATAAGGAAAAGTCAAAATTTTTTAAAAAAATTTGACAGTTTTTATATTGTGTTCTATATATTTTTATTATATATATATATATATATATATATATATTATAATTAAACAATTAATTAGAATTTATTTATAATTTATTTCATTTTTAATTAATACATAAGTACTTTAATATATTTAATTACGAAATTTTGTTAGACAATGTTGTAATATGTGAATATTATGCGGCGACAACCCAACAAAGAAATTGGAAATCAGTTAAATAAAGAAAATACTAATTTTGGAAAAAAATTTTTAGCCATAACTAATAGCCATACTATATAATAGCCATAACTAAACTATATATAAAAAATATATAAAAAATATATAATATATATATATATATATACAGTATATATATATATTTTTTTTTTAGTACGCATACACACATGATTTATGATAGACTAATGATAACTTAGTTGACCCTTAACTAAGTAAGGGACCTTAACTAAGTAAGGAATGAATGTGCATTTGAAGGACAACCAGTATAACCAAATCTAAAGTTAAGCTAGTAACTAAGTTTATACGCGTAGATATAAGCAGATATTGATATATGATAAATTGTAATACATATATATCGGAACTTTTGACTTTTATCATACAATGAATTATGCATTTAATGGCAACCATATGATAACTTATGACCAGTTTGCATAACCTACAGAGAAAAAAAAAGTGACCCCGAGAAATTTAAAAGAATCCCCGCATTCTTTAATTCTAAATAAGGAAGTGACTGATTAAAATGATTTAGATAAATATAAATTTCCATTAACAGTTAATGTTAAATTTGTACGTACTGTACGTATCATGTAATCATATAATGACATATCACACATTTAAAAAATTGTGATTATATCAGAGTAATAGATTTATTGCGCCACATAACAGATAAATATCATTTACGTTGTACGTAAAGTGCGCAAGTACGTTCATATCCTTAATCAGTTAAAGTTTTAGTTTGCAAACAACAAATAGATTAAATACATACTTATTTACGTTTCCAAGAAGTATTACAAATAAGCATTACAGTATTTAATCAATCATTCATTCATTCATTCATATTTAAATCAAAAGCTTAGCATTACTTAGCATTAGAGATTTATCTGTAAGAGTACGTATGTCATCAAAATACGCCCAAAAACTATATTAGGAAGTTTGATACAACCTTTAAATTTAAGTTATGTTAAAATTATGGGGGACTTTGTAATGAGTAATCATGTACCACATGTCAAAAAAATAATATATATTTTAAACAAATATTTTAGAAATATTTTAGAAATATTTTAATGGTTAGTAACCATAAGAACAATATCCATCTAC